TAGGAAATCTGAAAGTAATCTCCTGTTTCTTTCAGTGTGGTTTTAGAACTGTCTACATCAAGGTGCTTTCATTTGCTGGGATCTATTTAACATAGTGCAGGGGCAAAGAGGGGTATTTAGGTTGCCATATTTCTAAACTGCCACAAGATGGGAGTATTTTAAAGCTTATTCTGGTTTTCTGATCATTAATCTTGTGGGTCATAAGATGGCAGAACCTCCATGTCCTGAGGAATTGGACACTGGAACTCAGAAAAGCAAACATCACTCTTTTTTGATTCATGTGAGAATGCCAAAGGGAAATGAATACTAAACCAAGAGTATAGCTCTCAGTTTGTCATTTGGGGGAGGGGATCAGGACTGGGGAATTAAACCCAGTGTCTTATGCATGCTAAGCTATATCTCCAGCCCAGGTTTGTAACTATTACAGGCAGCATTTGAAATGAAGCCTGTAGTATAAAATGGAAAATATTGCTGGTAAAAAAAATTCAATTTTTTGGGGGGGAGGGGTTCTGGGGATAGAACCCAAGGCCTTATGCATGCTAAGTATATGCTCTACCACTAAACTGTACCCACAGCTGCCAAATTCAGTATTTAGATGAATACACTGTTTCTAAGCCTCCCATAGTTGAAGCCTCCTGTGATTCAACATTATTTTGACCTTTCGTTCCAGTGTAGCAGTCCAGTGAAAGTTCAGTTGTTTGTGGTACATGTTGAAGGCTGCCATTTTCAAACTTTCTATATTATCTCCAGTTGCTCAGGCAAATAACAGGAGTATTTTAAAGTGTCCTGGGACAGAAATTAGTTACAGAAATTCAAATTGCAATCAGTGCAATATGGTAAGGTAGAGAGAATTACAGAATTGATGGGCAGTGAAATGAGTGTCCTAGCTAGTATGTAAAACAAGTCCATTTGCACACAAGTTTATTATGAATAGATGGTGACCTTGGCTACAATTTGGGATGCTTTAATGCTTTTCAAGACTCTTGTCCTAAAGATCACAGGAAGCTATAGGCAAAGAAAGGAAGAATAAGGAGAGGAAATTTCGCTAGATCAGATAGAAAGAACTGGAAGGCATGCCAGGTTTCTGTAGCCCTGGAGGTAAATCCAGGAAAGTCAGCTAAAGGTTGGCTTTTTTTTTTTTTTAAGATTTGATATTTTTAAAAAAATTAATAGTACCATGTGCTTTTTACAATGCCAAAGGGATACCTCTGATAGAGATGGGATCCCCTACAGCAACTCTCAGGTTCTTGATAAAACACATGCATTTTCTTGATTTTATTTAAAAAAAATAGTGAAACTTACAGAGCAACTGCCTACACATCCACCTGTCCTTGGTCTTCATTGTCCTTGCAGTTTCATGGCCATATTTAACATTATTTCAGGGGCTGCCTCATTTGGTAGGAGAGAAAAACAGTCACAGCTAACAAAGGGAGGAAGTGACAAAGATTTCAGGCTTAATTCTGCAAAAGATACTAGAAATCAGAACCAAGCTCTTGTAATTGACTGCAAGTCTTGCTAAAAGTATCTGGAAGGGTAAGTCATGTGTGTCTCCTGGAACAACTTGTGGGGAGGGTGAACCCTGCCCCTGCCCAGGAGGGATCCCACTTTCGCCACCTGTTTCTTCTTTCTAGAACCTCCTAGAGAGTAAGTTGGCTTTGTAAGGACCTTGCCACAGAGATGGTCAACTCTGCTCCCCACCCCTGTGGTACTGGGGATTGAAACTGGGGATGCTCTACCACTTTTTAAAATTTTGAGACAGGGTCTTGCTAAATTGCCTAGGCTGGCCTTGTACTTGCAATCCTCCTGCATCAGCCTCCAGAGTGGCTGGGATTACACCACACTCAGCTCTGGTCAACACTTCTAGAGGCAAAGTAGTTGCCAGTGTATAGAAGCTAGGGCAGCCGTGGTTTTTCTTTATCTCCCCTTCAGTCACCATTGTGGCCTGTGATCGTAGACTCTGAACTACAGGACCTAAACAGTTCCCAATTTTCATCAGGTGTGTCGTATGCATGGGCAGGTGGGTCAGTTTCCACAGAGAACATCCAATATACCAGTGGAAAGTATCTGAGTTAAATTCTTAGCATGATTGCCTTGGTGACTTAAACAGCAACTCCACCCACTCTTCTACTCAGGTGGGACTTCTCGCTCAAGCCTACAGGTATGACAGTGCTCATTCTACTTCATTAAAACTATCAATTTCTTCCTAACTTTGGCGCACAGAATTCTAGAGTGTCAAAGATGTATCTTTTTTTGGGGGGAGGTACTGGGGATTGAATTCAGGGGAACTTGACTGAGCCATATCCCCAGCCCTATTTTGTATTTTATTTAAAGACAGGGTCTCACTGAGTTGCTTAGAGCTTAGCTTTTTGCTGAGGCTGGGTTTTGAACTTGTGATCCTCCTGCCTCAGCCTTCCAAGCCACTGGAATTACAGGTGTGTGCCACTGCACCTGACTCAAAGGTGTCGTATCTTAATCTCTGATTTAATAAGAGAACTCAAGTGAAGTCATGACTTGACCAAACTCTTTGCCCACATTTTCCTTCTAAATCTGCCTTATTAGATAGAGGTGCACCACAACACCTCATCTTTAAAGTCCTAGAGTATTTATTGTCAAAATCTACATATCTCAGGGCTGGAGGCATAGAGCTCAGTGTTAGAGTACATATTTAGTATGTTCAAGGCCCTGAATTCAATCCTCAGCATCAAATGAAACCCCAAGATAAACAAAATCCCCAAACCCCCTACATACCTCAGTTACATACTCTTTGGTATTACTTACTTGTTGCACCTCCACACCCAGCATAAGTATGAGTTTCATAAGCCATTTCTTTTTCTGTAGGACTACACTGACTTAGTGCTATTATCTCCATTTTATTTATTTTATTACCCCCAGGTGTGGAAACTGAGGCTCTGTACGATTAAATAGATTGTCCATTCTTACCCTACTACAAAGTCTGATCCAGGTTATACATACAGTTTTGTCTGTTTCCAAAGCTCACATTTTTATTATTTCTAAGTTTATTTTGAAAAATTAAAAACCTACAGAAAAATTTTAAGAATGGTACTATGGGGTCAGGGGCTGTAGTTCAGTGGCAGAGTGCTTGCCTAGCATTTGTGAGGCACTGGGTTCGATCCTTAGCACCATATAAAAATAAACAAAATAAAGGCATGCAGTCTGTGTACAACTACAAAAAAAACTTTTTTAAAAAGAATATGAATATAAATAACCATATGTCATTGCTCTCAATTCACTAATTTTTTCCATTTGCAAAGCCTACATTTTTCTTTTTTTTTCCCCCCTTTGTCAAATGGGTCTCACTGTGTTGCTCAGGATGGCCTCCAACTCCTGCACTCAAGGGATCCTCCTACCTCACCCTCTGGAGTGGGAGGTTCATATTACCATGCTGGCTCAAAGTCCACATTTTTTTTTTTGGCTGTACTGGAGATCGAACTCAGCACCTTGTACATGCTAGGTGAGCTCTCTCTAGGTTAACATTTTGAAGCAGGTTCTTACTAAGTTGCCCAGGCTGGCCTTGAATTTGTGATTCCCTTGAGTAGCTGGGATTATAGGCATTTGCCACAATGCCTGGCTTTAAGCCCACATTCTAGCACTGAGCTATATCCCCAGCCTTTTTGAGACTTAAGCCCATATTCTAAATCACTGTACCATTTATTAGTCATATTACAATCTTACACACATACACAACCCACATGTTTTTTTTTTTTGAAAGAGAAATTTTAATCTTTATTTTTTAGTTTTCGGCCGACACAACATCTTTGTTTGTATGTGGTGCTGAGGACCAAACCCGGGCCGCATGCATGCCAGGCAAGCACGCTACCGCTTGAGCCACATCCCCAGCCCGAACCCACATGTTTTTAATTTCAGCTGTAAGAGTATAAAAATATCTGTCCTGAGGGTTTCAAATGTGTTAGTTTTCTGTTGCTGAGACCAAATACCCAAGATAAAACAACTCTGAAGTAGTGAAGTTTAATTTTGGCTTATAGTTTCAGAGGTTTCAGTTCATAATTGCTTGTCCTGAAGCAGAATAGCACATCAAGGCTGGAGTGCATGGTGAAAGAAGGTTGCTCACCTCATAGCAACTGGGAAGCAGAGAGAGAGAGGGGTAGGAGAGAGATGCTGGGGTCTCATAGCCCCTTCAAGGGCCTTCCCCCAATGAGCTAACTTCCTTCCAGTAGGCCCCACCTCTTAAATGTCCCCATAGCACCACGGACTGATGAGTAGGCCTTTAGCATGTGGGTTGGGGAACATTTAAGATTCAAACCATAAGCATTAATGAAATGCAGTGAAATAATGGGTTTATTCTTTCAGCAAATATTTATTGAGATCCTACCATCCTGGGTTGAGTACCAGGCATTGTCTTGGGCCCAGACAAAGCACCGTCCATACCCTTAAAGAGTTTAGAGTGAGGTGAGTAAGGGAAGACAATAAAGAACTCTCCAGCTACAGGAAATCTGAACACCAAGGACGAAATTTCTGAACAGAGTGGTACTGGGAAGAACTAGAAAGGCTTCCTGGAGGAGGTAACCTCTAGCCTGAGGCCCTTCCCACAAGAGGGAGTGACCCATGAAAAAAGGGGGGAGGAAGCGGTTTAACCTGGTAAGAGTAGCTACTGAACATTTCAGTATCCAACTAAGCATGGAAGATTGAGGAATTTCCTTTTGTGGAAATTGGTTTTAGAAGAGAGCGCATGAATTCAGACTAGATATTAATCTGATAAAAGATAGACCAGGCCAGTTGAGTTTTCAGTCTGTTTTAGCTTTGCACATTTATAATTTTTCTTCACAGGACACTGCAAGTATCAATTTCTGGAAAATAATCTTTGTGAAAGTGTCTTGAATTCCTTGGCATGTAACTTGAATTTCCTTTTAAGTGTATATATTTTAATATTAATAAAGTGTTATGTTAGCTAATGGTACTTGCTATCCAAACAAGTCTGATCTGTTTCTGGAGTCTCAATAATATTTTTGTTTCTAATTAAGAAATTGGATGAAGACTTGCATCAAAAAATTGCCCGGGAGATGAACCTCTCTGAAACTGCTTTTATCCAAAAACTGAACCCAACAGACAACTTCACACAAAGTAAATATGCATTTTTTTTCTTACCCTCTTGAATGGCACCAGAAGTTACTTTTTGGGAGGGAATGATTTTATGTAAGGGAAATTCTCATTTATTATTCGTATGCAGATAGTAGATCTAGAAGATTCTGATTTGCTTTTTGGTTCATCTCAGGTAAAGGGTATGCTATGGTTTAAATGTGTCACCCCCAGATGAGTTAGCTCATTGGGGGCAGGCCCTTGAAGGGGCTATGAGACCCCAGCATCTCCAATAATTCATGTATTAGAAATTGAATTCCCAATGCAAATGTTGCGGGTAGGGACTAATGAGAGGTGATGGATTAATGTCATTGTTGTGGGAGTGGGTTCATTGTCTCAAGAATGGACTTCTTATAGAAGTAAGTTTGGTCCCATCTTGCTCAAGTGCTCATGCATATGAGTTTTCTTGCATGTCTACCTTCAGCTGTGGGATGATGCAGCAAAAAGGCCCTTATCAGTCGTAGGCCCCGTGACCTTGCACTTCCCAGCCTCCTCAACTATAAGAATTAAATTTATTTTCTTTATAAATTACCCAACATATGACATTCCATTGTAGCAATACAAAATGGACTAGGAGGGTGTTTGGTGAACCTGAATGTTTCAGCTCCAGATCTAGAGCCAGGGGCCCTGGGATGCTGGTCTAGCCTGCACTCATCCTTTCACAACGAGTTTTGGTATTAATCATGCTAGTGATGTATTTAGGAAAGAAAAAAATGAAAAGTTTGCAATCTGCTCTTAGAGGAATGACCTTGTCTCTGTTTGACTTTTCCTCCTCTGAAGGTTCCTGCTTTGGACTAAGGTGGTTCACACCAGCGAGTGAGGTCCCGCTCTGTGGTCATGCCACCCTGGCATCTTCGGCTGTGCTGTTTTACAAAATAAGTAATGTGCATTTCTTTAATCACTTAGCTATAGCAAATACATATTTTTAAAAATTCTCATCCACTCTTTCTAGTGGCCCAAAGTGAGTGGTATAAAGGTACTGCAGTTTATTTCATACAATTCATGGTGCAGAAAAAAAAAAAAGAAAAAACAAGCAACCTTTAATCACACTTTAGCCTTTATGAGTATGCAGTGGGCATTCTTGGGTTGTTCCCTGGAAAGCCATTTTATTATAAATAGATCTCTGGGGGTTTTTGTGACCAACATAGCAGGGGGATTGGCTAGGGCAGAATAAGTGCCTCACATGATATGATACTGGGGAACCACAGGCACACCTTGTTCCAAATATTGAGACATACATTGAAATTTGTTCTAAAATAAGAATTTCTTTGCTCTGAATTTTAAAGATTCCTGAGTCCTGACCATCAACATTTACCTTAAGATGGTGCAGCCCCTTAATCCTGCCAGTTCTTATTTGCATGATAACCCTCAAGGATTTGTGGGAATGGGATAGAAAAATGTCTGGAAATGCCCAGAAAGAGAAGACAACAAACAGAAATGTAACACAGAAACAGGATGACGTGACAAAGCCTGGAAGTAGGCAGCTGGGAAAGGAAGGTCTTAGGTGAGATACTTCAGATGGTGATGGTAAAGGAAGATGTCACAGGGCAAACTCTCCCAGGAAACAGGCTGCGAGACATTTGTACTCAGGTAGAATTGAGGGGAACTTTTCTTGGGCTCAGGATTGGGCTCAAGAAAGCAGGATTGAAGAGAGGAAGGGGTGGACCTGAAAAGTAGTAGCAACCAAGACAGACCTTGGCTCAGGCCACAGGAGCTATGAAGCTGGAAGTTTTTTCAACTGGTAAAGTTCAGAACAGAGGCAAAAGTTCAGGCCTTTTTACCCTCCGTGAACCAACTCACAAGGCCTGAAAAGAAGCATTACTTTGGGTAAAGTACCCCTCTTTGGCTAAGGGCAAGTCCCAGAGAGAGACTCAGCTGAGAGCTGTCAGCTGTCAGACTACTGGTAGCAGAGTCAGGGCGTGGAAAAGCAAACAAGCTTCAAGGTTGCACCTAAGAACAGGTGCCTCCTTAAATTTGGCACTCTCTTGGACTTCCTTGCTTCACCTAGTCCCAGCCCCAAGGTGGGAGATAGAATCTGGATACCAGCACCCTCTAGAGAGATAGACCTTTGGGGTGAAGAATGAGACAAAGTCTCCTGAGCAAAGAGCTGGAGTGGGTGGATCAGCATCATAGAGAGGCAGCAGCAAATGCAAAGCTGCAGTAAATTTGATCTGAGTATCTGGAGCGTCCTGAGAGAGGACAGGCTTAGCAGAAAGGACTAGACCAAGAGCCCTCTAACATGTAACCCAACGTACAAGAAGATGATTTGGGTTTATGTGCATAGGGCACCAGAGTGAAGAAAAGCAAACATCCTGAAATATTGTGTAGGAACTCTATCTTGAAAAGAAGGGCCTAATGAAGTTGAACTGAGTCTTTTGAAAGCAGGGTCCCACATTGGTTGGAATGGCTCTGAGGTTTGGAATAATAATCTCTCAGTCTCCTATGGAGTCTTAAGTTTAGATGAGATAACGTGTGAAAAAAAATGCTTTGCAAATTATGTCTTACACCAATTATAATGAGAAAAATTAAGTTTTGGGTTTCAGAATGTAAATTTTATGCTCAGTGAGTTAGTATGCAATGCTGAATTTCTTTGAGAAAAGGATTAATATTAGAGAAAAAATTAGTTTACAAATTAAAAAAAAAGGTTAGATAAAAAAAATGTTAGATGAATAACCTAAGTTGGTTCACAAAGGGATATGGCAGCATTTGTGGTCCATTTTTTGTTTTGTTTTTGGTACTGGGACGGAACCCCAGGGCACTCAGCCACTGAGCCACATCCCCAGCCTTTCTTTGTATTTTATTTAGAGACAGGGTCTCACTGAGTTGCTTAGAACCTTGCTAAGTTGCTGAGGCTGACTTTGAATTGTGGTACATTATTTTTTAAAAAATATTTTTATATATATTTTAGTTGTTGATAGACCTTTATTTTATTCATTTATTTATATGCAGTGCTGAGAATTGAACCCAGTGTCTCACACATGCTAGGCAAGCATTCTACCACTGAACCATACTCCCCAGCCCTGTGGTACATTCTTTTTTTTTTTTTTCTTTTTGGTGGTGTTGAACCCAGGGCCTTGTGCACATGAGGCAAACACTCTACCAACTGAGCTATATCCCCAGCCCCTGTGGTACATTCTTTAAGTCAATTTTTTTATGTATAGCTTGGTTTACTTAGGGTGAACTTGATTTGTTTGCACATAAGACTGTTGTTCATAATTACCTGTTTTGTCATCTCCTTAGAATATTTTAAATATAATCCACAATAATGGGGAGCAGAGAATAGAAGTTCATTGGATTAGACAAAGGGGAATAAAGGGAATGGAAGGGGAACAGGAGAGACAGTAGAATGAATTGGATATAAATTTCCTATGTTCATATATGAATACATGACCAGTGAATCTCACCACTGTGTACATCCACAAGAAATTAACTTAGAAAAATAATAATAACTATGGATAGGGCTGGGGATGTGGCTCAAGCGGTAACGCGCTCGCCTGGCATGCGTGCGGCCCAGGTTCGATCCTTAGCACCACATACAAACAAAGATGTTGTGTC